TACTATGCTATTCAATATAAGAGAATCATCACATTAGATGTGTTTTTTTCTTTTTTTCATGTTTTCAGTACACTTCCAATAAGTGGTTGAGTAGTAACAATATGTTTTAGAGCTCTACTCTGCTGAGAATTGGTCTTGCTCTGAAATAAACACACTGCACAGAGGAAGCGCCTTGAACTCCTTTATATGCCATAACCAAACCATCAAGCAAGCTTTGTTTCAGCATTTCATGGACAATCTCTGGCCTCTGCTTTCACTCAATTCTAGTAATTTTAGTGCTGTCGGAGGGAGTCCACAGAAACATCCAAAGATTGAACTCCCTCTCTGTGACACTGCCTCTAACAGGACATTGCGCTCTCCTAAATGACAAGGAAAGAAAGCAACAAGCATCTTTCTTGCCTTACTGCTGAAGCTGTTTGTTTTGGCCAGGATTAAGAGTAAAGCTGTTATCTTTGGAAGAGCATGATGGATAATTAGTGCAGTTCGAGCTCCACTTGCCCTCAGAGTAAAACCTGACTGCCGAAGAGCTATTGTTTAACTTTATAAAGCCATCTGGAGTCCGGCCAAGCTAACAATATGAAAGATGTCTTTCATATTTGGATCCTTTAGCTTTAACAATCTTGTATTATGCATTAATAAATGACTGCTGTAGCGTAAATGTTTGGGAATGCAAGTCCAAAAGTTTTTTATTTCTGCTTTTGACTCCAGCAAATCAAAAATACACTAACTGCAAAGTCTTCTTTCTTTAGCTTTTTTTACTTTAATATTTCACAATTTTATTAATACCAATAGATGGAGAATAGACATTTTCCCCCTCTGTGTGTCTCCATTCAGTATATTCCAGGCTGCCAGTGAAGCTTTAAGTAAAGTAATCTGCCCAGAATCCCTTTAGGAATCCTAGCGGGTTTTGTTTTAACAAGCTCACAGTAAGACACACACATGACCTTTTTGTGGCCCTCTTTTAGTAGTTCACTGGAGTCGGTGTAAGTCTGCATTAAAGCTTCTTTAACTAAGCTACAGGCTAGAGAGATGATTCCAGCCCCCAAGAAGTTCTTTCGGCTATTCTCCCTCCTTTATATTTGTCTCGATGTTTTTTTTTCTCCCTTTTTGGTGTATCTGCATTTCTTTTGTTTTTCTGTCTCTGTTGGATTTCTCTTTCATTAGACAGTGTTATTTATGTTCCCATAGAAGTCAGCCTGTTTGGAGACATTCCAGATGGTAGAGTTGAGCATTTGTGTGTCTGTGAACCGTAAACTATATGAAAACATGGACTTGGCGCCATCCATATGTTTATGAAGGGACATATTTAGTCCCGGATTTGGATTGATCACTTGTCACCATGTTTGTCAGTTACTGGATCCAGAAAATCCAAATTTGGGTGATGGTTGCAGCTGAGGTGAAGCAGATGAACCCCAAGCATACCCTCTTTACCCCCTTAAATGTACCATGTGGAACTTTCATTATATACAAACACAATTTTAGGTATTTAGTAGTTCAGGATGTATATTTTTTCAGCAAAACTTACTGTATGCGTCAATATGGTCTGACTTAGTTCATAATATTTTAAAGATCATTTTCTTTTGGAAAGCCTTGGGTGTTGAAACATGAATTCCTTCTGCTTGAATATTGCTACCTTTTTATAGTGCATTATTGTCACTGTTACGGCCCCCTGCTGTTGGCAGAAAGGCTTATCCTGTCAACCCACACGATCATGGCATTTATGTGCATTGCATGTTTTTTTACTCCAAAATACACAAAGAATGCAGGAGCCTGCCAATAAAAACATTGCTTTACTGCACTACCAGTATTTAAAACACCACCAGTATCTATATCGCCCTAGTTATGAACAACCTATTTTTTAGAAAGCCGTTGAATATTCTTAAAGTATCTTCAGTGCTGACCGACCGCTGGCATCTAGTAACGCTCCTCGACATCCTTTTGCAAATGAGACTAAGTTCACCTTTGCATGTGCATGTTTCATGCTGAAAATAGCCAATTAAGGAAGGTCATCACACTTGTTGCATTCAGAATCGCCCCTCCACACACCCACTCCTCCACACATGTCACTCTCTGTTGATTCCTGAAAGCTTCCTCCACCCCCACTGCCTAGGCGTTATTGGTAGATTTAGGCGTTTCTACTCGTTGCTCATCCAATAGGTTCCAAATGTCTGAACTCCATTTAGAGAAAATGGTGCATGTCTGCTGAGAGAGAGAGAGAGAGAGAGAGAGAGACAGAGAGAGGAGATATAGGAAGATTAAGATTTTTTTTTGGGGGGGGGGGGATGGAAGACTGAGTGATGAAATGCAGAGAGAGAGTGAGAGATAAAGAGAGCCGCAGGGTACCAGTCACCAAACCTCACCAGGGGGCTCTGTGCACACGCATACACATACAATATATATACTGACAGAAAGAATGTGCAATGTAATGCAAAAACCCACATGGATACATGCACAGATTGAGACACCATGGACGTACAGAAACATATGTTTGCATACATAAGACGAGACACACACATGCACACTTGTATTATGCAAAGAAAATCCACCCATACACATATCACCAGCAGGGGAGGAAACACACACAATTATTTACAGCACATAGC